AGAGAAAATGCTTTGTGGTACACAAATGAGTACAGAGGGATTCAAGGACACTGAAACATATTGAGGTGTGAAATGTCAAGGGGGAAAACATGGGTAGTAATCAGACATTGTGAGTTGTTTTCACGATGCTATTACTATAAAGCATGAGACTTGGTCTGTCTGGATGAATTGGTCGCTTTATGAGAGCGAAGGCAGAGCTAAACATTTGTTGTGTCCCCAAGAGGTGAGGAGGAAACACAATGCTTTCAAAACAGTTTATGAGCCGTCTTGTGATGTATCACCCATATCTGCAGTATCAGCTGCATTTTTTATTCATAAAGGTTCAGACAGATCATGCTGACTCAAAGCATTTTCTTTCTTTGACTATGATTTCATTATTGCAGTTGCATTAACTGCAGTGTTTCTGCAGCAAAAAAACATGATGCCTTTGCAGTGTAAAGGCTAACCTCTTCCCTGCATTTACTGCTCCTCGTTCTCTAAGCATGCTCTCACAATACTATGAAGAGCTCTAAAGGATTTACATATGGAGCACATCTTCAACTGCTAGTACATTACACTTAACATGTTGTGGACTTTTAGACAATTCAGACATAGACTGATTTACAGAAGTAATTTCAGGAGGTCCGGCAGAGAGTTTCCACTGTTTACAAAGCTGCCTGGGTTGCATGCTGTCCATGCTGCAGGGAGGACACATCTGTTCCTCCTCCATGAAAACATGTCATAACAAGTGGATATTGGTGCAGAGTCAAGCCATGTGTTCAGCAAGAAATTCTTTAAAGGACATGAATAGAGAGTTATGGACACAGATTCTTTGGTTTTACAGATATCTTTTTAAAACAGTTATAAACATATTTTTAAATTCTGTTTGCACTAAAGTTACCCCTCCAGCAGCAATATATATATATATGCTTTACATTTTTCATTACATCCACTCTGTCAAATCAGAGAGGTTTTATCTCACTTATCTGTCTTATGCATATAAATGATATAGTAATGTTATCAGAAAGTTTATATCATATAAAGCCAAGGGCTCACGATGGTCTTATTTTTTTTTCTCCAGTGATGATTTTCAGGATACCTGTAGCAGTGGTTAAGAGTTTTTGTCTATTCTCCAGAGGTGGATTGGACTCTACTAGGCATTTAGAGCGTGAATAATCTAAAACTGGATGTTTGTTGTGGAAGAGTGCAGAAGTGTGTATGTTGCTCCAAACATTTAGTTCTTTTCCTTGGAGAATATTTCTTTGACATCTGCTTAATCTAACGGCTGTTCCGTTCCTGACATTCTAAAGAAGCTGGAAGTTCAAGTTCTGATGACTTCATTAAACAACACAGACATTCTGTCCATGGTGGTATTGAAGTTCAAAATTTACTTAAGATATATCTTGCTCTAGAAAAAGAAGTTGGAACATCATCTGAGGCCAGTAGATGAGAGTGATATGCCTTTGTATATTCTGAGGCATTCAGGTCATAGTAACCACAAAGCAGGGTTAAATTGGAGAAATCAAGGCTTTCACTAACTTTTCTGAAAACTTTTAGACACCTATCCAGGAGTTTTAGTCGATTCTGTCAAAAAAACCTTATAGTTTTGAAGAGATTGGCATAAATACATTACCACTCCATCCCAACAAAACTAAAAAAAATAATATTTAGAGTTAAGAAATCATTTTAAAATTCCAAAAACAGTTATTAAAGTGAGATATGATCATCATTCATCATTGCATGGCAGGATCTACCCCATTTCAATGTTCATTTAGGACCCAGTATTCAGGCAAGACAGACAATGGGATTACTTCCAAAAGCGTTTATTGAAAACAGGTGGATCTGCGGATCTGCAGTGGCTAGGGCGTCCAGGGCAATAACCTATGCTGGAGAGAAACACAGATTAGTGACCAAGATAATCTGACTGAGGAGGATTATGAAAGAGCAAGTCACTAACCTGGTTAAATAGTTCAGTCAATAGCCAAAGAACAAGGTAGGATCCAGCCGGTGGGCTGCCAACAAAATGCGGCGGGTGCCACCCGGATTGTCCCAGATACTGCAGCCACGGAGAACAAGCAGGAGTCCAAAGCCAGGTCAGCCAAACAGATCAGAACAGGAAAAGGCAGGCTTAGTGGTTAAGAGGCAGAACAGGTCAGGATCAGAAATTCAGAAATACCAAGGAACTCTAAAAACACTCTCACCACTGGCTAAAGAGAACAAGATAGTCTGGGGCCGACAGCTGGATGCAAGCGCCTTAAATAGAGGCAGGAGCAGGTGGATCAGATGAGAGGTAATGAGCAATTAGGCAGAGTTAGACAGGTGAATGGAATGAATAATTAAGCCAGTCATCAGTGCCAAGATCATGACACTGATATTTCTCTTCTTTTTCATCCGTATGTCTTGATGATAATTTTGTGTTATTGTTTCTGTAATTGTTAGACAGCATGAATTCTGCTCATTTAAGTTTGTTTTACAAATGGTAATATTGCCTAAAAATAATTATGAATATTGTTGTTGAAACAGTACTCAGTTTAGTCAGACAGTGTTGAAAATTTGTCCATAAACAAAAACAGAAAACAACGAAAAGTTTCCATCAGGTAAATATATATTTATGTATTTTAGTCTGCTGACAGTTCCTCATTTTATACTACCGCCATCTCTTTGTTCGGCTGAAGGTAAATTATGCTCTTTATGTTTTTTTTTTTTAAGCTCTCTCCCCATCTTCTCTCCTGCTTTATCACGCTCAGTGTAAACATATTAGTTAGCTCGATTCATTATTTTAGCCTCTACTTGCTCTTCTGTGATGTAAATCTAGACATATATATAGGTCAATGAAAATTGGACCCCTGCAGACTGTTTATACTTTTTAAAATAAACTTTTTAAATAAAAGAATATATACAAAAAATAGAACATTTGTCCATTTTAAAATCTAAAGTGTTTTTGAAGTAGAGAACAGCAATCGCTCAGTTTGGTATATAGACAATTTCCTGATTCACATATTTTATAAAACACATAAACTGACCGTTTGTTTTTTCTTTCTTTTATGGCTTAATGAGAGAAGTGGGCTCAAGGCTGACCTTAAACCTGAGTCTGATGCCATTCTCAAGCACATATCAAGGTGCTCGTTCATGAGCCTGGATCAATATCTTTTTTTGAATATGTTCATGGTGGATAATCCTACTTCACAGCAGTAGGTTGAGCCAAACATATTCAAAATGTGCAGGTCATCTCTGAGCATGCCATTGAACTTTTCTGTCACCAGTTCACTGCAGTTCTTCCAGCAGTCTGCACTTTCTTTCACATTTTCTCTTCATCGTTACCGACCGCCCAGCTTGCCACAGCTTTGCCTGCTGTGTCTAAAAGTAGCTAGCAGCAACAGCCCAGACTGACACAGCTCATTGGCTAATATGCATCACGTGTAGCTTGGTCCCTGAGGGCTTTACTGTACAAACAGGAGAAGTGGCGCAAGTGAAATTAGACACTGCCGTCGGACAACATGCAGTTATTTATGAATGTTTTAAATCAAGTTGGGTCCGGATTAGTCAGCAGGTGGGTTCCGGACCCTAGTCCGCTCATCCGTTACCTATGATCTATAACTTGGCCACCTCAAGGTGTTTTCTTCTTCTGCTCTTTAAATAAGCAGTTAATGCCGCAGCACACTGTTGCCACCTCTGAAGTTGGAGTGAAAGCTGTTGACACCCGACTTGAAAGCTGAGGTGCAGAGGAGCACAAAAATACTCTGAATATGAGTGTGTGTGAGGAAGTATGTCGAGTCTTTGGGTCTATCTCTGCCTCTTTATCTGTTTGTCAGCATGGCCAAAGGCTATGCCATGATTGGCTGTCTGCGCCGCTGCTGCATTTGCTCTTGGACTTCAATGAGGGCCATGTGCCATGGATGCTGACTCACAATGAAGCAGAGGGGAAGAGCGTACGGCTATTACTGCTTGTATTTTGAAGCCCAGAAATAAAAAGGAGAGTGGGGGCAGATGCAGATTTGTGTGTGTATGTCTTTCTGTGTCTCTCTGCGAGGGGTTTTCTGCTTTAGAGACAGATGAGTGTAAGGCAGTCTGTAGGTACCCCAGCTACAAAAATAGGTCACACTGGTGCACCTGCCAGTCCTTTTCTCCCTTGCTGTCTCTTTCATTTTCTTTATCTCTCTCCCCCTGAGCCATCTGCATCCTACTGTCTAATCATAGGTCCTCTTTGACTTTCTCTCCATTGTCTTTGCATTTCACAGAGCTCTTTCTGTCTCACCACAACCCTCAGCTGTTGTTGCCATGACTCCATTGCACTGTGCTGGAATGCACACTGAAATTAATTGTTAACAATCCAGTGGGTTACTCTGGCTCAGTGTGTGGATTGTACAGCATATAGCCTTTACCTAAATGCTATAAATCAATAGTTGGTCAAGTGTCCCTGAATTAGAAGGATGCCCTTGGTTCTGCCTGCAGTTATATATAGATCCATGCTAGATTATAAAATGAGCTCCATAAACCTGTTAGCAGGGGGGAGAGTGAATAGCTAATTTTCCCTCTCACCCTCGTGCTATTTTAAATCTTTTTACCGTAGGGTATGAGATTAGATAATAACATCCACGCTATTATGAAGGTATGATTGCTATGCTACAATGTCCATTGCTTATTGCGAAGTACACACAGTGCTTCTAGCTTAAAAACAGCTTTTGTGTAGCACAGTAATTAATTGCATCAGTTCAGCTCAGCTTGGAAAACTAATTTGTGAGCGTTCTCTGCAGTGCCTGGTGTCATATCACTCTAGAGGCCAGGTTGGGTTGAATTCAGGTGCAAATTAAATGAGTCTTCAGACATGACACACTGAGTTTCTATTTTCGATATGTGTCTAATTTAATTTCTTTTGGCTGAACAGGAGATCTACTCTATGGTTTGTCGTCTTATCTAAATCCAAGGACAGTATTCTAAAAAAATTTTCTTCTACAAAAGTTTGCTGGCCTGTCATAAGTCTAATGGCTCTTCCGTTCTGTCTTCCTCCCTCCCTCTCTTAGCTAAGAATAGGCATCCACACCGGCTCAGTACTGGCAGGCGTAGTCGGGGTTAAAATGCCACGATATTGCCTGTTTGGGAACAATGTGACCTTAGCCAGCAAGTTTGAATCAGGAAGCCATCCAAGGTGCATCAATGTTAGTCCAACCACCTACCAGTAAGTACCTGCATATTCCTATCTAGAGTTCTAATAGAAAAAAGTAGGCCCGACATTGTTGTTTAAATTTGATATAATTTAGTGCTGTCAATCGATTACATTTTTTTAATCTCGATTAATCGCATCAATGCCAAAGTTAACTCGCGATTAATCGCATTTTAATCACACATTTTTTTCTGATTGAAAATCATTTAAATACTCTCGATGACATACAAAAAATACATACAGGCTAGGTTTGTGCCAATGTTCTTTTTTTTAAATAAAAACAGGTCACAGACACTGATTTATGCCATAGAAACATATGGCAAGAAGATGGGGAGGCATGTAGCAAAAAATAACAAATATGTAGGCAAAAAAAGGCCCTGAAAACAGGCTGATGTAAAAGACAGTCTTTACAGTTAATACAGTCTTTTGAACAAAGACAAGCATTTTACCCTACTGCTATAAAATGTAGTAGAGTTAACATTAGATGTCAATTAACCAAGATAATAATGAACAATTGACCTTCACAAACAAATCAATAGACCGACATCACTAGTTGGAGGTAGTCTATGCTCTAGAAAGTTACTTTTCAGCCTCTTAACAAAAATGAGAACACACACACACACACACACCCACCCACACACACACACACACACACACACACACACACACACACACACACACACACACGGACACACACACACACACACACACACACACACACACACACACACACACACACACGATACTGACCTGTGGCGTACACAGACAGCAAGAGTGCCGTATCAGATTCCATTTCACCTCAGTAATCAGTTTTCTCAGCGTATTTAAGGTTGCTACTAGCCACCAGACACTCAACTTGTTTGTTGGTGGTGGGGCTTAAAGAAAAGGCACTAGCGCTACCCAGTGTATGAGCGTCTTTTTTCCTTGAGGAGCTCCGCTCTCGAAGCCTATGGAAAATGCATAGACTGGGGGAAAATAGCCCCGCCTTCCCGCAGGCTGCAGCGGGATGTACTTGGAAAATTGTACCATAAAACCACATAGCGTTAATCTCACGTTAAAAAAATTATCGCCATTAAAATGGCCTCGCGTTAACGCGATAATACCGCGATAATTTTGACAGCACTAATATAATGTATGTATATATATATATATATATATATATATATATATATATATATATATATATATATATATATATATATATATATATATATATATATATATATAAATAAAAGATAAAATATAATTTAAATGATCAAATGTGTTTTTTAATGACACTGCGGAAGTTTCACATCATTAAATAAAATATTTCATGGCCTTGTTTTAAGTTCCAATACTTTTTTATTCAAAGTAGAAAGATCTAAACATGATATGCAGAACCTGACTTGATCTTGGAGTTTTCAACACCAAAGCAGCTAAAAAGCCTGGATATGGTCAGACAGAAGCTGTTCAGTTTTTCTGAAGCAAGGTTTCATCTCCTGTTAATGTGGTTTTAAACTATTGCTGTGACTGTAGAACTTGCCAGGAATACAATTATTTTCTTGTAAAGCATCTTGCCTAATTGAATTGTAAGTTCTGTTGTCCATCTTATTTTAGGAGCTATCTAAGAGAAAAGCTTCAGCCATAATTACTTTAACTGAATCCATTAAGCTTCTCTTTAAGGAAAAAAGATTGGCTTTTACAAAATGTTATTACCGTATTTTCACGACTATAAGGCGCACTTCAACGTCTTTTTTTTCCCTCAAAATGTGCGGTGCGCCCTATGGTGCGGTGCGCCCTATGTGTGTTGTAACTGCGACTTTTGAGACCACCTCATTGAGGAGATGATGAAAGAGTGGCTGAATGTAAGGAGACCAGGTGTTTTTTTCCACTCATCACCATCGCTGTTAATCTGTAACTCCATGCGTGCCCATCTCACAGCTGATGTGAAAAACATGGGGAAACAAATTAACCCTGTGCTCGCTGTTCAACCGCTGGACATCGGTGTGAACCGGACCCAGCAGGTGCAGCAGAAGCAGCGAGTTTACATGCAAAGTCAATGGTTGACGCGCGTATAGGTGCAGCAAAAGGTCCTGCAGCGCGTTTTGAGCTGCAGGTGCAGCGCGTCGGGAGCGCGCCGCCAACGCGCTGTTGCTGCTCGAGATGGAAAAATTGAAGTTTTGCTGCTGGACGCGCCGCATCAACCAATCAGAGAAGCTGATCTGGGAGCTGACAGCGAGACAGACACAGCGCTCTGATGACATATGATATTAACGCAAATAAAATGGGCTGGGGAGATGATGAAAGGCAGGTGTATGTGAGGAGACCAGGTGCTTTTTTCCACGCATCACCATCGCTGCGTGCCCATCTCACAGCCGATGTGAAAAAAAAAGATGAATCAAATGAACGCTGTGCTCGCCGTTATCCCGGGGGTCTGACAAAGGAACTTCAACCGCTCGACATCAGTGTGAAAGCGGCCGTTCAAAGTAAGGCTGCGAGCGGCGTGGGAGCGATGGATGACAGACGGAGAGCACAGTTTCAGGATAAGTGGAAGGCAGCGCCGGGCAAGTTACGCCACCGTTTGCGGATGGATTGTAGATGCTTGGACTAAAGTGTCTGCTGGCTCTATTGTTCAAGCTTTCGCAAAAGCCGGCATTATTTCTGAGGAGCCGCGCTGCACGGAAAGTGACTGACAGCGAAGAGTGGGAAATTGGCATGTCTGATTTAGCGCAGCTGTTTAATTCAGAAACAGAGGATGATGACTTTGATGGGTTTGATTAATACTTTGTAATAAATCCATGAATAAAGCACAAACATACTCAGTTTTGCTCCCGCTCTATTTTTCTACCTGAAAACTTAATTCAACAGCAGCCTCTGGGCGGGTCTCCTCCTCTTCAGCGCGGTGGCTGGCAGGTGTTTTTTCATCTAAATAATCTAAATCTTGCAGCTATATTTGCTGTGATCAGTGGGAATAAAGTAGTTTTAATATGTTTTTAAGTGAGAAAGGCCACCTGAAAACTTAATTGCAGTCAGTTCATCCAGATTATCTATTTCTGTCGGAGGCGCTCAGACCCCCACATACCAGCGGTACACCGACAGTAAATCCCTTCAACAGCAGCCTCACACGGCGGCTGGCAGGTGTTTTTCATCTAAATAATTTACAGTGCAGGCACCAGGATACCGGCAATAAAAGCGAACATATTCCGTCGGCAGGTTTCAGGATTTTAAGTTAATTTAGGAGTAATCACAGCGCTGTGTCATCTGCGATGTGTCTGTCTCATGGCCAGCTCGCAGGTTTGATTAATTTGTAATAAATACATGAATAAAGCACAGTCATACTCAGTTTTGGGCCCGCTGTATTTTTAAAATACGCAGTAGAGCTATTTAAAGGTAGTAGAGGACATGTACCTGTATATAAAAAATGCGCCCTATAGTCCGGTGCGCCTTATGTGTGTGTTAAATACAGAAATGGGACACATAACTGAGACTGCGCCTTTTAGTACGGTGTGCCTTATGGTCGTGAAAATACGGTATATTAGCTAGTATTGCAACCACTATAAAAGCAAATTTTATTTTACACCCTGTAATGTTCTTTTATTAACAGATTGTTGAAAGACGACCGCTCTTTTTCATTCATCCCTCGCTCTCGGCTGGAGCTCCCGGACAATTTTCCCAAAGAGATTCCAGGGACATGTTACTTCCTGGAGGCAGGGACTTCCCACAGCCATGCCTCACTTACCAGCTCTCGCTCGGCTCCTCCGGCCTCTATGAGGAAGGTCTCCTACAGCATCGGGACAATGTTTCTAAGAGAGACCAGTTTGTAGATTCATACACAGGTGTTCAAAATGTGAGGGACTGAACTTAAACCCCAGAAACATACCGGAAACCAGACACTCCGATTTGTGGTTATGCAAATGTGTCATGTTAAAAGTGGGATTTACACCTGAAATGACAAATACTTTCATCGTAGATGAAAGAGAACAACTGTTCCCATCTCCTTCTCTGAGCAGTGGGGATTTTCTTCAAAGGACTAAAGGAACACTGGTCCTGTATCTATCCTCCAAGAGGTGGACTGATATAATCAAATATTGGAGAAACCTGCGGACCAAGCTGGACGTCTCAGCTACTGCTCTGGTGTCTCGCTCTCTCTTAAGCAGGCCACATTCAAATCTGTGTCCGGATTGACAGAACTGGGTTAAAACTGACAGAGACCGCACTTCATGACAACTGTTGCCCTCATTCGCCATGTGCAAACAGAACAAATACCCCGTTTCAGTTTTAAGGTGGGTGCTGAAGAATGAAATTTGTATGACTTTCTGTCCATCATATTCTAATGTCCAAGACAAACGTCTCATGGAAAACAGTTCAACTCTCCCCGTCCTTCCTTTGCATCTGTCTTTAAGTCATGTTATGCTTTACTGATTATAAGAGCTGCGGCTCAAACCTGTGACATTGGGTCGGCTTGATGGGATTTAAAAAAGGAAACAATGAGATCTGTTTTAAACAGATCATTTCAACATTTCAACAACAAATACCAACCAGAATAATACTAACCCAAATTCACAGCCTTTTTTTTGTGACACCCAGCAAACTTAACTAGAATATACTCTAATATAGGGGAGTGCTAGTAACAGAAATGAGAATAGATAACTGAAGTTACTGTTTGGCTTTTTTATTTTTATTTTACTTGTAATTCTTTGTTTTTAGCATATTTCATGATTTGACCTCTTATTGATAAGTTCATTTGTTTGCATTTACCAGCTTTTGCTTTCTTTTTTTTTTTTTTTTGCCTATCAGCATTTTGACCTACAAGTAGCATGTCTAAAAGCTTTGCTTTTTAGGACGGACCTACACATGTTTCTGCAGTTTGCTTTGGATGACATCAATGCAGACAGATGTTCATGAGCAGACATATTCCTGGCTTCATCTTTTCAGGTCCACATGATTAACGGATTGATGTGTGTTGTAGTTTGTTGAGCTGGAAAATTAGAAATGTGATTTTCATCTACCGGTAATTGTGCTGTTCAGAAACACTGATATAAAAGTCCTGCATTCACTTAGGCCTGTGCAAATTTCACCAATATACTAAACTCAAAATTTCTCATACCCCTCTTAGATTTAGATCTTGAGTTATTTTTTTTAGGTCATTTTCATGACATCCAGTTCTCTGAAAAATGTTTTCTTGCCATCACCCTGATCTTTAGCTGCTTTCAAAGATTCTTTACCATATTTTAACTAGGAAGCAAATCCCTGACTTATACTGCTTGTGTCTCCATTACGTGCTTTGTTTCAGGGCTGTTTAACATCAGAAATGCTCTAATTTGCTCTGATCCTTAATGAAGGCGGGAGGTTTTTCTAGAAGCATGCATGATAAAGCCGGTGATACACGCTGAAGCCAGACTGAGAAAACATTTGCTAGATGGATGTAAACACAACAGTTAAAACTCCTTTACTGTTTTTTGTTGTTGTTCCTGCATCAAGATATTTACACTGTTGAGTAGCTTACACGAAGAAGCTCATTTTGCTTATTTTGGCGCATTAAATGTGTTTATCATATGCAAAGTTGTATGTTACACAATTAGACGTATAGATATTTGAATAAATGACTATATTATTAGTATAGTAAGGCCTTTGAGAAAGTCTAGCCTTTGGGGAATTATTTTGAAAATACAGTTGGTTTCTTTGGTAGATTGTTGTGCACAATTCAAAAATGACTTTACACCTAAATCTGCCAGGGGTGTGAAGAATTTGGACTTTATTAAAGATAGAAATCCATTATGCCTAATTGCCAAGATCGAGGATGACTTGCTAAATAAAAAATACAGATCCAAATAAGGTCATTTTAAATCGACCTTCATAAAGTAGAAATGTTTGTTTGAAGAGTTGGTTTTATCAGTATCTCACAGACTTTAATCAGTTATTATAATCATATCTTTTGTAATTGAATCCAGTATCAGAAGTGTAAACATTGGTTAAAGAAAGAGAGAAAAGTGTCATATTTCTATTGTAATAAGAAGTACACGAACATTCTTATCATCACTGCTTATTTTAACACATGTTCAGAAATGATAGTGGCTGCATTTGCTTAAACAACAGCTTCCTATGTCCTTATTTACTTCTTATCATAAAGAAAGCTTTGAGTTTTTTTCTCTTTATAATTCATTACCAACTTGAAGTCCTTTATATAACCGTACTTCTCCATAAATGGATTGGAAGAAAAGTATCCTTACATCTTGAAAAATTATGTAGCAGGACTTTACTAAATAAAATGTGCCAATTTCTTTCAAAGATGCCACCAGCACAGATAAGTCATGATTTCTTCAGTAACAGTGTGGTCTGTGTGTGTCATTCAGAAAGATCGTTGACCAGGTGTAAGATATTTTTTTAACTGAAATATGCCTGGTAAAAAAAATCAACTACTGTATTTTTAATGCAAAAAATATTGTGAATACAAAAAAACTCCCACCTCCCTTTGTTTCTTTTAATGAGTAGTGTACAATGTAACACCAGCCTAAAAATGCAATATTTTATATAGGGAGAAATAATGAAAAACAAAAGTATACTTTTAACATACCTGAGGAGTGAATTATTGTCATTGTGTGTATATTTAAATAAATGAGTAAATAAACTGATGAATATAGATTTATTAAAGAGACGTTAAAGAAAAAAACAAGAATACAGCAGGTCAAATTAGATAAATTTTGATTAAAAAAAAAAAAGGTTATTTTTTTCGTCTGAGATTTCTTTCAGATTTTAGGTCAGCGTCCTAACATCTCATCAGTGTGTTTTATCTGCAGCATTTGGCTTACTATATTCTAATTCCTTTTTCATCAAATCATGTTGAAATACAGACGCTATCCTTGGATTAAACATTAACACAGCTTTAGGTAAGAAGGATTGGACTCTAAGGGGACATTGTTGTTCTTAAATGAACACACAGCCTTTTTTGTAAAGAGGAGGGAAATGGGAAAAGGTTAGGTTTAAAAAACATTCATTTTTGAATATACTAGTTATATACACCCTTATGTTGTATACCGGTAAAAAGAAACAAAAACCTTTCTTTTCCCACATCTGACTTTAATTCAGGTTAAAATGTCCCTGTTTTACATCAAATAAATGGGTAAATAGGTAAATAGTAAATGGGTTTTAAATAAAAGGTTTTAAATAAACCAGGATTGGTATGTTTTCAAACTACTTGGAAAGGTCGATTTGATAAAAATCTCATGGCTACACCTGAGGGTGCCACACTTATCCGTTCAAACAGTTTTTTTTTAAATTCTAATAGCATTGGAATGTCCAAACTCAATGGGCCCTTGAAAGCACCATCCCAAGTGTAAAGTACGGAGATGGCAGCATCATGTTTTGTGGGTGTTTTCACAAAAGAGAAAACACTGTGTCAAATAATCATGAGATTGTAAATATTTCATAAAAAAATCTATATATGAGCCAGAAACTGAAGTTTTGGTAGCAAATTTATTTTTCAAAGGAACAATTACTCCAATCAAGCTGATAAATCTGGAATAAAGTGGGCTGAGGACCAAATTCAAGCAAACTCTTGCAAGATGCTTGTAAAATGATTTCCAAAACATTTGTGAATAAACTTGTGAATTTGAGGAAGGTTAGAATAAAAACTAGAAAATGTTTTCTCATCACTATAAACAAGACACATTTTTGGTAATCCTATTTAACCTGTAACAGAAAAGGGAAAGTCAGAGTTCATATCAGAAAGAAAGGGGAAAAAGAAGATTTGTTTTTATGGTATTGTTATTATTGCCATATATTTATTCACAGTGACATTACCAAATCATTCCACATCATTCCTATAAGTGCCAAATGGTTAATGGTTTTAGTTTATATTTGCCCATATGAGCAATCCTTGAAAGATCTAAAAAAAAAGGACATGATTTTGTTAATAAAATTAATTAAAGGTATTTAAACAAATATATTTTTTCACACCCATCATGTTATCCAAACTTAATAAAAAAAATTATTGAAGTTATTTTATAAATTGTTTGTACAAAAACTAATATTGAAAAAATAAATAAGATGAAAAATGTTCTCTACATTAGTAATAATAGCATTTACAAAAGGGTATCAGCTCAAAACTAGTGCATTTGTTAGTCAGCGAATCTGAAAACAAGCAGCAAGTATTCGTGTCCAGTGTGCATTCATTATTTTTAGCTGCTTAGCATCAAAGTGGTAGCATGTTTAGTGTGGAATCGGTAGTCACATTTAAACAGAATACAAAAGGTTTAAACAGGATTCTGTTCGATAACAACACAGTATAAAACTGTAACAGTTTAAAATAGACAAAAATGATTGCATGCTCATGGTAATAACAGAGAACCAGCACCTGCAGCACCCACGTGAAGCAATAATCATTGTATGCAGAGAGACCAGAAACGGTTTAAAAGAAAAAATAATGGTGACATTTTAAAGCAGCCTGTGGACATAGATTAACATACTACAGGGTGATATTCCATGGTTAACAATCCATACATGCATTTTTATATAACTAATAAAACTCTTGTAGCTTATATGTATTGAAGGTGTTGTTTTCACTGAGCTTCAGAGCCTAAGTTCTGTGTCTGGGCTAAATTAAGCAGATTACGCCAGCATTACACCCACACAACTGGTGTCCAATTCTCCAGTCCAGTCTCTGTTTCTTGGATAATATCAGATATTTAGAGAATCCTGCGACTTGCTGTACCGGTGGAATCATTCTGCAGGTGCTGTTTCTCTGCAGTCATGGGGTATTGCACGGCAGTGAATATTCACATATGTAAGAGGGCTTTGCTGTTTGGTACATTAAAGCCAAAGAAATCAGGGTTTTATTTTTCAACTTTTTTTTTAATAAGGTCAAACTTACAGTTTGCTGAGCCTTGTGAATATTGATTCGGGTTTAATTAAGCATCTTAATGCCGAACCACTTCCAATATAAGACTCACAAAAAATGCATTCCTTTTGTTTATTTGTCTTTTCTGGGTCAGCTAGAAAATGTACTCCAGTGTTTGTGCCATCTGCAGTCAAACTGGCTCTCCCCAAACACACATAAAGGTTCTGTACCATAACTTTATGTCTTTTTTATTATTATAATAAATAAAATATTCTCTTCTTTTTCATGGTTTAGTCATTGTTATATCTCAGCACGTCTGCTTCCTGTTGTATTGATAAAAAGGTTTTCTACCCTAACCAACTGAATGTGATTCATTGAAGTTAAAATTAAGTTATATGTATACGTTTTATTTCTGAATGTTTCAAAGTGGTCTATATCTTTCTGCCACGAACAGCACGATCTATAATGAGTCACTTTGCAATAAGTCTGGGTTGATTAGAAACCAATATCAGTTTGATCAATGACAGCCTGCTAAAGGAAGCATGACTCGTACCTATTTTAACAGACTTTTGGGTCTGTTTCAAGGAATATCTGGACATAAACTGTGTTGGACCCTGTTGTTGGCATCAGGTGTTTGCTGTATTTTAGGGTGCTCAATCACAGCTGTTAATATCTGACTAATGTTTAAGGCACATCTTCTGTCTTACATACTGTAAATAAAAAAGTAAAAAGAAAAACACCAAGTATCTTTACAATAAAAAAAAGTCTCAGCTGCTTAACTGAGTGACTGAATTGGCAACAGTAAAACCTAAAACCGCAGTGCTGTTGTTTTTGAAAATAGTCAACAGACTACTTAAATGCAATATTTACAGTTTTTTTGAATGGCTTTAAAATTCTCTCCCCTTTTTAGGGCAGAATGGGAGGCCAATATTTTAGTTTTCAGGCTACTTCACCTCCATATTAAGGCAACATACTCCATATACATTCATGTAAAGAAGCCATCCAGACTGTAAAAGTCTTTATATTTTCTTTATCAAATTGCAAAATACCTGCCAACTGCTTGTGAATAAGAGATGGTTCTGATTTGCTCTTTCAGTCTGGCTGTAGGTGTGGACTTTGAGAAAAGCAGCAATAAGGAATTCAAGTATCTGTAAAGTTTTTTTTAAAATAACATAGTCCATTCTAATTACTTTTTAGTGAAACATATGTTTATGTTTTTTTTTCAAACTTGGAAATATCTTTGATAATGCAAGTATTGAAGTCAATATTACGTTTTGTTGTGGATTGGGGTGTGTTTGTGTGTGTGTGTGTGGGTACAGCTGACATAGGTTTCCTTCCTTCCTCTGACATATCATCCGGTCATCCTCTTGTTACCTCCTTGCCCTCTGTATGCCAAAGTCAGCAGTGGAAGGTAAAGAAAACTTACTTGATTACTGTACTTAAAGGGGTCATAGAATTATTATATAGGGTATTTGGTGCTGGACCTTAAGGTCTCTGAATAGGGTGTCTAATATTGGTTGGGCTGAATATGGCATATTTGCTGTTCTTTGAGCCCTAATCCAAGCCTGGCTGAATTAGGGACCCTCTTTAAAAAAAAAAAATAGATTTACTTTAATTATGTAATTTTTGGTGGGGTAACTTTCACCTCACTACATTTCAAACTCAAATATTATTCTTTCTACTTCACTATATTTTGAGGAAGCTACTAGTTACTTGTTCCTTGCTGTTTTTCTTTCTTGAAAGGCTATTTCAAAATGCCATCTAGCAGCCCTTATGACTGAATTTGGATACCACTGTATTACAGATTTGCATGACATTTCACAAATCTTATTTAGAGATAAAACATTTTATAGAGCAGAATGGGAGGCAGATATTTAGCTTTAACGGTGTTTTCAGATAAAACATTTTTATTAAGGCGTTAGTTGTTGCCATGTGGCCAAGTGGCTATTCCATAGTGAAAGTGTAAGGAGAATCAGGACACTCCTGTTTTGGTTTTGGTTTGTTATTAAATAAGACAAAATAATCAAAATAGCTGTCCTTATTTTTCTGGCATTTGTATGCTGAAGGTCTTTACAGGTGGTGCAGAATATTTTAGCAGAGGTGTTCTACTCATTGATACATCAGGTGGTTTTGGAGTGTTACAAGGTTCTTTAAAAGTACTCGGAAAATTAAACAGAGATATACTAAAACTGAAAAAATTAATTTTTATTTTTTAATATTTGAATACTTTTAATACTACTTTAAAATGCTTAAATATTTTCAAAAGTGAGTACGTCAATACTTTTAACTTGTGTAGATGTTTCACAGAGTAACTTTTAGCTGTAGTTGAGTAAAATTTGACTTTGAGTATCAATACAAAAACTACAGTTGAGTACTTCATCCACCTCTGGCCAAAGCACTTCACCAATTGGCAAACTGTTTTGGCATGGATCATTTTCATCAGATAGGATTTTGGATGAGCATCATTGTCAGATCTGCAGAGGGAAATCAGGAACAATCTCTGAAGGGATGTAATAGGGGCTCTTTGTGTACTTAACACACTTGGCCCGTTTTATCAGCCAAATGAAACACCCCTGTATTATGGGAGTGCAGCAGTATTAACATTTAGGCTGTGGGTTTACATGATGCTCTTTCCTTTATTGACCAGCAGTGATATCTTCATTGGAGCTGCTGTGGGAGATCTTTTCTGAAACGGAAAGTAAAACAAAGTGTTTAGGTTTGTTCGATGTTAAATTTAATAAATAATGAAGAATAAAATACAAAGCTTCTTCTGCCTGTTATCAGATGTTGTATTCATTGGTGTAATTTTTTCATTACATGCAATTTGGATCCAAAAGGCTGTGAAAATCTTTTTAACAGTACATTTTGGTAACTATTAAATCAGAACAAAAAACATTTCAACTTCTTTCCCTGAAACGATAAAAATCATCAGTAATAATGTAAATCAGAGGAAGTGAAAAGTCCTAAAAATGAGGTTAGGCAGCCGCGACTCAGCTGCATGAGGTCAGCTGCTTTCCCCTGCAAAGTCTATGCCTCTCTTGCTGCCCCTCCCTGCTGGATTTCTTCACAATTTATACTGGGGGGACTTAGCTGGGGACCTCCCCAGGCCATCCTGTAGGTCTTGGCTGGATCTAGTAGAACCTGATCATCTGCAAACAACAGAGATTAAATTCCATCGGTCCCAAAACCAGACTCCCT